AGTTTTGTAATCTTGTGTTAATAATCGAACAGAATATCTTCCCCAATCTCTGATTTTTTAAATTCTATTCACTTGTAAACAGGACCTCAGGAAAGTTTTGTTTGTTTACTTGTTTGTTTTGTTTTTTTTGGTGTCACGTTTATTTGTCCGATAAGCATATATTTGTATGCCAGTATTTTATTATTCTTTTAACTAAATTAATTTGCGCGTCAGAATCTACTTAAAGCGCTCGTGTTTCAGCTCTGACGGACAGCCGGCCGGACCAATAGAAGGCGGTCCAGCCCGCGGTGGGCGGGGCTTGCAGCAGTGCTCCGCCTCGCGCTCAGAGTCGGTTCTGAGGGAAAGTTCGTGTCCGCTGCGAAAGTTTCTTCACGAGGTTAATTTTCGCACTTTACGGTTCACCGCAGCGGCGAGTGGAATATACACGGCTTTGAACGGACAAAGCAGCGGCGAGTGGAATATACACGGCTTTGAACGGAAAAAGCAGGCGCTGCTGGGACTCGAGCGTTTTTAGTGGCAGGATTGTGTTTATTTGTATCGTATGATCCGGATCGTATGGATTGAAGATTGGAGATTTATCTTTTTTTTATTTTATCTTAATTAATTTGAAGCTGGAATGGGCAGAGATTAACGTTAGTTAAGAAAGAAAAGTTCCTCACGAGTCGGATTTTTTGAGTTTTTGCGTAATTAAAAACTAATTATCCGTTTTCATATCGGATTGAAGAGGTTTGATAGACTGGATCTGAATCTAATGAGCTGACAGCAGGACTGAGATGGATCCTGTTTCCTGGATTATTCCTGTGTTCTGGTTCTGGTTCTGGTTCTGGACTGGATTCACATCAGCAGAGGAAGGTACGATCCACATTCAGTACTGTATGTTATTATTAACGAGTTCTGTGTTGTTCTGGTAATACGGGAGTGATTCTGTCTTAACTGAAACTCAAAACTTCATCATGGACATTGACTAACTGTTTTTTTTTTAAAGAACGTAACTTGTGAATTTTCTATCTGAATTTATTTTTGGGATGAGAAATCATTTCGTCAGCAGACAATGAGAAGTCCGTAGTTGATGAAGTTGGTTTTGTGCTGTGAATAAATCCGTTCATTTTAAAAGTTCAATAAAGAACCTCCAGTTTTGGCTCTTCACACTCTTACAAATAAAGTTGTTGTTGTTTATCGCAGTGATGTCATAGAAGAACCATTTCTGGTTCCCGAAGAACCTTCCAGTCGACAGTTCCTAAAAGAACCCCTTTTCTTTTACATTTTAATGATCTAAAGAACCTTTTTCCGTCATAAAGATCCTTTTGCGCAATGGAAAGATTCCAATGATGTTAAAGGTTCTTTATAGAATCACCAAAGCCAATATAAAAAATTATTATTTTAGGGCGGGTTCTAGAGTCATGGGCTTCTTTAAAGGTTCTTCAGGTTCTTTACACGGTGTCGGGGAGTAACTAGTTACATGTAACAGAATTACGTAATTTAATTACAAAATAAATAACTATAATCAGTTACTGAGAAAAATGTGTAATTAAATTACATTTACTTATGAAAATGTAAAAGATTACAAAGGGGGTTACATCTGAATATTTTCTGTATATGTGAGTGTGTGTGTGTGAGTGTGTGTGTGAGAGAGAGTGTGTGTGAGAGTGAGTGAGTGAGTGTGTCTATGTGTGTGTGTCTGTCTGTCTGTCTGTCTGTGAGGTGGTCTCGATGTCCATAAATCCCATTAAACAGATTTTTCTCAGCAGTGAGAGATAAAGCTGGATTATCATGGGCTGTGACCTCCGACCCCTCTCTTTTTCTCTTTAAGGGGGTTTTCCTCAATCTTCTCAACTCCGATTCAGTTAAAGTGGATTGAAAGTTATTCATTCTGTCCCTCACATCTGCTTTTGATCCACTTTAGATCTCAGTCACACCGTGAATGAAATACTGTGTTATTGTGAGAGTGTATTTCTGTATCTCAAGATAACCGATAAAATACCTTGGATGCAGTGTTAGTCACTTTGGATGAAAGTCCTTGCAAATGCATACATGTAAATGTATGTTTCAGTGGTAATGGTGTGGTGGTTGGTTTGGAGTGTGTGTGTGTGAATGGATGCCTGTAGCTGCATGAGTGTTTGTTTTGGAGAGCTCGTCAAGCTTGTTAGCATAATTAAACTAAGAGCCACTGGAACGCAGCCTAATTATCACATCTTCAGCCAATCACATGCTCCATTACCTCTCATCCAATCAGCTGCCAGATGGGAGGAGCCTGAGAGCCAATCATGTTTGAATTAATGATGAGTGATGGAATGATGCGCAATCAATTAATCAGTGATCAATAAGTTAACTGACCTAATACTGTCAGTTTCCTCTCAGAGAGTCGGGCTTTACAAAAACTGAGAACATTGTTGCTAATTGAAATAAAACTGAAACAAATATAAATATTTGATGAAAAGCTGAATAAAAGTTGAAATGTTGCCTTGGCAACTAACAGAAGTAAGTTTAAGTTGAAGCAGAAAAGTTACTAACTGGAAATAAATAACAACTAAAATTGTAATAAAAATTCATATAAATAGTGATGTTTAAAAAGAATAAGTACTAATAAAAATGACAAAGCACATACAAAATAAATTAGACGTTAAATGAAAACTGAAAATATAAAAACAAAAACTGTAATAAAAAAAAACTAAACTTTAAATAAACTGAAGTAAAACTGAAATAACAAAATACAACAAATTATAATATTTAATAAAAACAAAAGCTAATATAAAATTAAAAGAGCACATAACTTAATTATAGTGTTGTCACGGTACCAAAATTTCAGTATTCGGTACCGATACCAGTGAAAATCCACGGTTCTCGGTACCAAT